CAGTCACACAGCCACACAGCCACACAGCTACCCAGCCACCCAGCCAGCCACCCACCCAGCTACCCAGCCACCCACTCACCCAGCCACCCAGTCACACAGCCACACAGCCACCAGCTACCCAGCCACCCAGCCACCCAGCCACACAGCCACCAGCTACCCAGCCACCCAGCTACCCAGCCATACAGCCACACAGCCACACAGCCACACAGCCACCAGCTACCCAGCCACCCAGCCACCCAGCCACACAGTCACACAGCCACACAGTCACACAGCCACACAGCCACACAGCTACCCAGCCACACAGCCACCCAGCCACACAGCCAGGTAAGGAGTAAGAGGTAAAGAAAGGTACATAGACTAGAAAAAGGTAAAAGCCCAGAGGCAAGAGGTAGATGGGATAAGTTAAGAAAGCTGGCTAAAAACAAGCCAAGCTAAGGCCAGGCATTCATAAGAAAGAATAAGTCTCTGTGTTTTTATTTGGGAGCTGGGTAGCAGGTCCTCAGAGTTAGAGTAAAAAGAAACAAACTACACTGTTCTTTGTGCTTCGTGTGGACTGTGGCCAGCAAGGGTGATATTTGCATGTGAGAGAGGCGCACAGCATTCAGCTGACAGGAAGAGAACCCCTGACTCAGTGGATGGAGTGGAGTCTGGGTAGAATCCAGGGAATCCAATCTCCCTGAATGATCACATGAACATTTATGGTAATAACTCCCTTTGTCCTCCTTCACAGGTGGTTGCTGTTCAACTATTGCACTAACTAGAAAAAAGAATAGGAATTCTTGTTATGCAAATTGTTTTCTGCGAACCTTGGGCTAACATTACACATATAAAAATACCACAGTTTTAACATTCAACAAATTTCTGTTTTGTTTTTCTCTCTAAGTGCATTTTCAGTTGAACAGGTTAGTCCACTGTTAAATTTCCTTAACAAGTATCTCAGGTTGGAGCCCAGAGTCTGCTTTGGTTTTTAATGTTTTCTTGGAGTAATTACCTTATTAGCTGAGAAGATGGGAAGTTAATAGGGACATTCGTGCAGGCAAGCCCAGAACTGTGTCCTCCTACTGTGAGAAACTCAAGAGTAATCAAAAAGCCTCCAGGATGGGTGGAGGGGTCTGAACAACAGTCTGAGCTGGGCATCCTGGGCTAATTACCCCTACTGGAGCGTTGACTTTCTGTCTGAGAGACCCCAAGTAAAAGCCAAACTTTCCCCTAAATCCCTAACTCCTCAGATTATGAGGAAATGCAGGCACCTTAAGACAGTGTACCTAAAGGAAAAACAGCTGGAATCAGACAGAGCCTGGAATCAGGAAGTAGGAGCCTTGCTTAGCAAGACCTAAAGTGTAGTATTGTCTCTGTGGCATTAGCTTGGGGTATTTGTGTCTATTTTGGTCAGGAGACCTAGCTGAAAAGGTAGGTCTATCCTGGTGTGAAGTCTCAGGAATTTTGAAGGGTTGTCCCATTCATCTCTTAGGACAACTTGGTCTTTTCCCATCAGGATATGAGGAAGGGAGAAAGCGCCTATCTCTGAGCAAAGTCACTCACTCATGTGACCTATACAAGAACAAAGATAATTCTAGAATACTTTTTGATTCTGTCTGTATAGAAAAGCAGGGACTGTTTCTATTCAAGTAAGTATAGTTAAACATTATAGATTTTATTTTGTTCATTTCATTTTTATATCTATTAATGTACAATTGACAAAATATTGTAGGTATTGAGATGTACAACATGGAGGCTTTTTAACTGGAGATTGAACCCAGAGACTTACATGCAACAAAAAGCATTCTTCCAATTGAGCTATGTTCCCTGTCTGGCATTTTGCTATTAGTATATCTTGTATAATTAATATCATAGTTAGGCTGACTAACATTCATTCCTTGTCACAATTACCTTTTGCAAGGGGGAGAAAATACTTATGATGTGCTCTTTGAGAAAATTTTCAAGTGTGCAAAGCACATACCACACTGTACATTAGGTCTCTAGACATCATCCGTATTGAAGCCAGACTTACCGTTAGAAGACTTGTAGTCCTGATCTCATGCGCCC